TCATTTGGTCACATTATGTTGGGGTCATTTAGACCTGTTTCATCCTTATGAGTGCTTGTTACTGTTCTGTTTAGTTTTCAGAACTGATGGCGTCCTATCCCTTTCTTTCTATACCACACATTCACAGATCTCGTTATGTGATGATTCTCATTGAACTTGAGAGTTTATAATAGAGTAGTTTTAAATTTTTTTGGCAACCTTAAAGTACAGCCAGCATTGTCAAGTTCAGTGCTTTATAGGTTATATTGTGATCTACCTGGATCCCCTATGTGTATACATATAGGTGTGAAATGTGTGTGCGTTTGTGTATAATTTACATTCAAGTGAATTAGAACTCATTTTTTCTTTTGCAAAATGAAAACATTTTGCAAAATTTTTAAATGCTATATAGATACTACTAATGATAATTGATATAATCATTATTATATTCTGTTTTCCCTCTGTGCCTCTCAGAAAGGCAACCCCAGGATTTACTGTTCCCCTTTAAGAAACTCTCCTGGTTCCTTCCTTCTCATTCCACCATCTCTGACCCAAATTCTGTCGATAAACTGTGCATTTTGCCTCCTCTTTCTTGTGTTTGGAAGGTAAAGATGCAGACCTGGGCAGATATCCCAGCTCTACAACCCACTAGCCACAGGATCTCAGAGCCTCACTTTCCCTGTCTCTAAAGTGGGGGTAAAAGTACACAAAAAAGGGTACTTCCCTTTGCTCACCTTCTCCTGCCCCCTCAGTTGCCTCAATGTGTCCGTTACTTCAGCTTAGAATCTCTTCAATTTGAAAGTTCCTCTCAAGTCCTCCCAGCCGGTTAACTAGATCGTTCTAGTCGTGTTTTTATTTTTGTTGAACTTGTGGTTTTGATGAGTTTCCTTAAGTCCTTAGGAGGCCTGATTTCCTTTGCCACGCCCAGTTGCATGTGGCATTTAGATGCAGAAGCAAGGTGGAAAACTTACTCCTGCACAGCACCCTCGAGGGAGGATGGAAGTGTTTGTCTGAAGGGGGCCTGAGGCTTGCTCAGAACTCACAGCCCTTCAGATGCGAGCCCTCGTAACCAGCTGGGAGTTAGTAATGCATACAAATGAAAAAAAGCTTATTAAAAGAGAAAGGGACAGTAGCAAAATAAGGCCAAAGCCTCTCTGGGTGAGGTCAGGCAAGGAAGAGAGCCGTCCACAAGCTGGGGTCGGTGCTGTTGAGAAACCACTGGGCTGGCTTGCCCTCCCTGGCCCCGGTCCTGTCTTCCCTCAGGCTGTGTTGCCCTCTGGTTCTCCACCAGCTGCTTCTACGATACAGGTGTAGGTCTAAGCTGTGCCAAGGGCCACCTGGGCTGCCACTCAAGGAGAAGGTGTGACCCACTCCCTGAGCTCCGGGTCGAGGCCAGGAGGATGGAGAAGGGGATGTCTGTGATGTGGGTTGCTTTCTCTGCAGATGTGGTGGCTACTTCCACAGGGCCCAGTGAGCACAGGTTTCCTCTTTTGTTCTTTCATTATATCTGGCCAGACACATATGTAAAGCCCACAGCTGTCTCTGCACTCTCATCCAGTCCAAAGTTGTGTTATTTGTTGTTCCTGGTGTAAACCTGAAACTCATTTCTTGCTTTCTCTATAGTTGTGAAAGGCAGTGCATATCTCACTACGGCTACTCCCTGGTGATCAGAAAGCGCTCGCTCGTACAGCCGACACACAGCAGAGCGGAGGGGGAAGAGCATGGGACTCTGGCCAGAGGATCGCTGTGGGTCAGGGGGCTCTGCTTTCTCAGCGATCAACTGGGATAGTGATATCTTACAGGGATACTTGAAGATTGAGACAGCATTTATGACAGTACTTTGAAGTGTTTAAAGCACCAGACAGGTGTTATTTATTTGATACAGGGTGCTGCGTGAAGTTGAGAGAGAGAAAAGAGTGTGAGTGTGTGTGTTTCACCCTGCCAGCCAAGAGTTGAGCTAATACTAGAGGAGATGAGACATACACGCATGTGTATACAACATGGTTGAAGGTGATTATCTGCATGTCTCTGATGGCTTTAAAGAGCAGTGGGAGCTTAGCAGGGAGGAAGCTTCCTGGAGAGGGTGACATCTGAGCTGCACTTTGAAGCCCAGGCACTTACATACTGCCTGTAAGCCAGGCTGAGCTGTCACACCTTGGGGGAAGGTGTAGGGCTGCACAGCCCAGCTCACGCTGGTCCCCCTGCACCCTCCTGCTTTGCCCCTCCCTTTACTCCTGCCCTTCACTCCCAATTTGGCTCCTGCCCTGCCTGGCTCTTGACTTCCTTTGTTTCCCATTTCTAGCCTAGGAATTCCCAATACCCGGGGCTTGATCTGTTTCTTTTCCTGGATTTGTCCTTGACCCTGCCTAGGAGACTCTGGCTGTCCTGGTCACTTGGAGGAACCACCTGCTCAAACCACCCCCACTCTGACAGAGCCCTGGCTCCTAGGACCTCCTCCAGCATGGCCTCGCTGGAGTGACTTGCCCAGAGAGTTTTAAGAGACTAAGAGTTGGATACAGATTCAAATTTTGGTGCTACCATTTACTAGCTTGGGTGAGGGATTACTGAGCTCTGTTGAGCTTCGGTTTCCTCCAGGGTAAAATGAAGATAAGAGTTCTCTCTCTCTCTTTGTGTGTGTGTGTGTGTGTGTGTCTCTCTCCCTCACAAACACACACACACACACGCATAGTTTGGTTGTGAGGTTTAAATGAGGTAATGATTTAAAGGCTGCTTGGTGTCCTGTTAACATTGGTTGTCTGCTGTCTTTTCTTCTGACCTTCCATTCCAGATGAAGAACGTTTACGTATGAGGTCAACAAGTCCTCAATCTCTGTCTCTAAACTCAGTCATGTTTCCTTTCCTCTTCTTACAAAAGCTCTTGTATGATAAGTTTAGTTATTTATGCTCCAACAGTTTCTACCACTGCTTTGGGGGAGGCCCCTGAGGTCTCAAGCAGAACTTGAAGCACCTTTTCCTACACGCATTATGTGGACTATACCTAAGGAACTTATGGGCCAGGCAGGTTTTCATGAAATCCTGACAGCATTGTCCATTTTCACGATAAAGTATTTGGACAGATGTTGCCAAGCAAGCAACTTGCCAGAAACCCTCCATTTATCACCCCGGGCCTGTCTGTCCCTCTTGTAGTATCTGTTGTTACACTCAGTAAGCCTTGGTGTGTGGGACCTCGTAGGAAGCATTTGACAAAGCATGCTCATGCCAGAGCAGTGTGAGGCTAGCCCTGTGGTCCTGTGCTGTCCTGACTACTCTATTTTTTTTAACAAAATGTAAGAACTCAAGTTGAATAGGATAAGAGAGTTGGAAGGGACCTTGAAATATCTTACTCATTCCCAACTCATATTTAAGCCTTTCCTGGTTGGCAAGAACTTACCCCATTATAGGACACTTTCTGATGGTATGTGGCTTTTCACAATGATCTCCTCCAAGAGCTCTTGCCGAGAAGTCCTTTCTTGATGTCTGTGGGCATAAAGGCACCTAATGAAGAAGAGGGGAACCCAGGGCCTTGCTCCTTGCACCCCCTCCACCACAAGAATCTACTTTCCAGACAGCATCCCCGTCACTGCCCTCTCCTGCCACAAGTAGAAAGGCCACCCATCCCCAAGGGAAGGTGACCCTTTGAGGCTTTTTATGTCCCTGGGACTAGGGAAGTCCAACTCAGTGTCTTCCTACTGTCCTGTCCTCTCTATAGGATGGGGAGGGAGAATGGTGGGCATGCCCCCAATCTTTAAAGCTATAACAGAATCTGCTAGTTACTTCATATAGAAGAATGTTAGCACTTACTGAGCAACTACTAGAAACCAGGCACTATACTAGGAATGTAGACATTACTGTCATTCCCATTTTGGAGATTCCTGGCTTTGGAAGGTTATGTGACCTGAGATCACCCAGCTATGAGTGGCAGAGTTAGGTTTAAATACAACTAACATCAGAGCCCAAGCACTTAGCACTCGCTCACGCTGCGTAGGATGTGGGAGAGTGTGCCTGCTGTGGGCGTCAGCAGCTGGTCCTTGTGCCTGTGTCTAACGCATTCTATACGTGCTTGATGGGACAGGGGAGCGGGGCTGGGCTAGAGGCCACCAGGAGAGGCTCAGCGCCAGGCCCTCTGCCGGCCGGCGAGGAGGGGGGACACGGCTTCTGCCCTGCCCCCCCAAAAGTCCTGTTGCCTGCTCTAGTAGTACACAGGCACTTGGGAGTTTGAAGAGTCTTTCAGGTAGTAAGTAACAGCAGCATTTGCAGAGTCATGTAGTCCTCAGTTTGCAGAGGAGAAAACCGAGTCCCGGAGCTCCTTCCCAGAAGAACAAGTTAACAAGTTAACGGCAGAGCCTGGTGGGCCCCAGCTCTCCCGATTCCCCATCCAGCGCCCATCTCCTTGTCTGGAGGTTTGCAGTCTCCAGCGTCTGCCTTCCAGATGTAAACTGCTTGGGCTGCAGTTTCAGCCTGTGCTTTCTTTTTTCTTAGAGGAGATGGAAAACTACTGATTTGCCTTCCAGTGATGGATTACCAAATGTGCCATCAGCCTTCTCTGCCTCAGGCTAAAAGTTCTTTGTTTTTTTCCTAAAAGGAGGCCTTTTCTAGTCCAGTTTTCTGCATTGACTCTCCTCCTCCCTACTCCCCTCCCCACCCTATAATCCCCCTCCCTTCTCTCAACTTTCACTCCAAACTAAACCAGCTCTCTGCATGTTTTCTTTGTACATTTTTGGCTCTGGTTCTTTTCTTGCTCACTTTTTCTTTTTATGGTGGTTTCACTTCTTTCAAGAGTTTTTCCCCAACTCAGCCCAAGCTGCTGTCATGATGAGTGTTGGCTAAAAAGCTCTCAGATACTCAGCTTTAGTACACACTTGGGTGTTTGGTTTCGGTTCTGTCCTTACTCTGTCGTGGTGCCCCGGGACTTAGCTGACACTCGAAAACCTGAGGCAGGGAGGGGGAGATGGTGGGAGGGGTGGGAAGGGTCCAGACACCTGCACTTTCATTTATCTGGGACAATCTCTTTTTGCTTCTCAGGTACACAAATAAGCTGTTTCTCCCCAAGTTCTTTCTCCTGGCGTCAGGCTGCCTTCGTGGATTCTTACTGTTGGGCTGCTGTTCAGCAGAAGGACTCCTTACAGGGCGATTCTGGAAACCTTCCATTGTGGCTGCATAAGGTAACCGGGGACATTTTAAAATCTCACCTGTTTGCTTTATAGATGTGGGAACTGAGGCCCAGAGAGGCTGTGCCAGTTGGCCCAGCCCAGAGAGGTTGTGGCACAGCCATGGCCACACAGATACGTATGGCCACTCAGATCGTACAACCATAGCACCTTAAAGTCAAAAGGAGCCTCAGAGATTACTTGGTCCAGCACCTTCATTTAGCAGATGGGGAAACTGAGGTGCTCGTTGGATTTTAGCTCCTTAACAGCAGGTACCTCCCGTGTCCTAGTCACCTTTCTATCCTTCATGCCCAACAGTGTCTGGCCCATAGCAGGTTCTCTGGACATTTCCAATGCCTCAGTGAACACTGTTTGATAGTGGCAGAGCTAGGACTCAAACATAGCTTTGGCCAGAGCCTTTTCCACCACACACAGGGTCTCTTGGAAAAAGTAAGGACCAACATAGAGTTCAGGTGCTTCTAGCCAGTGTATTACTGGAGCATCAAGAATCCCAGTGATGATTCCTTTTGGGGTGTTGGCTGCAGCACAGCTTTTGGAATAGATTCTTTTGCTTTCTGATGGGTCCAGATACTACAAGGAAGGGGAAACACTACAGAGGAGACACCAGTGTCCTACACAGAGGAGGTTCAGGTCAGGAGCCCCATGATCAGGGGAGTGGTGGAGGTGAGAGGCGCACAGAGGCTGGGCAGTGAGGAACTTGGGCCGGAGTTGGCAAGTTTGTGCAGGAGAATGTTCTCTGCGTAGCGAAGTGGCTCCGTTAGCTCTTCTCTGTGCTTATGAAAGTAGGACTTTTTTTCAGCCTGTCATTATTTTCAACCACTGGGTCTTTTGTCCATCATAAAAACAAATAGAACATGTGTGTATCTTCTGGTATTCTCATCTACTGAGGAAAACATGGTATTTTAGCTTCTGGAATGCCAAAGGCTGAAGTTTGTGTAACTCTCTCCTGCTTTGACCTGTTGCCGAAAACAGTCAGCATCTTTCTTTTTAAAAAGAACAGTTTAAGTCCTTTGCTGTGACCCAGGCCTGTTCCCTTCTTGTTTATTTATTGCATGCCACTCGGCACAGTGATGCCCTACGGTGGCTCCTTTCTTCTTTGGGGTTGGGCTTTTGTCTTTGACTTTCAGCCTTAGCGTTAGTTGGGTCCTCAGCAACTTTGCATGGCTTAGTAGCCAGAACAACAAATGACAAGGATATTTGGTATGAATGGGCACAGTTCCAGAAGTTGAACAGCTTTGTTTGCAAATCTGAATCCATGCTGTTAGAGTTTAAGTCCATTTGTTATAATGCTCTTATGAGAATGGAAGGTTATAATCAGTTACTGGGCTGGGCATTGATGGATTCACAGAAGAACAATGTATAATCCGGGATTGTCTGATGTAAGAGTTGGCTGGGATGTCAGAGATTGCAAACTTGTAGAGCAGGAAGAAACTCAAAGATTCTGATCCAGAGGCATTTTACATGTAGGGATAAGGGCACCTTGAGAGGTCAAGCCCAGGAGTCACAGGACTAGTTGCTGGCTGTAAGACTAGAATCAGGTCTCTGGGCTCCTAGCCCATGGCCCCTACAGGGTAGGAGAAGAAATCTTGTAGAGCAGCATGGGTAGCCAAGCCTTAGGTTTCTAGTATTACTGAGAGATTAAGACACTCTCTCTCTGGTGGTGGTACTCTAGCTTGTTTGGATGGAAGTATGTCTGAGGGTCTGAGCAGGGCTTGCCAGATTCACAGGGCTGGAGACAAAAATTGAAGTTGGGACTTGCCAAATTGGAAGGACCTGGTCAACACCCAGGCTTGAAAGGCCATTGCTGAGGAGTAAGGGGTGATCCAGAATTAAACCAGCCCTTATGGGGACTAGAGTTCTGGTTTGAATCATTTCAGTACCAATTGAGTGAAGGAGATGTGGAGTTATCAGCACCTCTAGCCTACCTGCCAGCCAGAAGCAAAAATAAATCCTCTGGAGGAAGGTAACTTCATCCAGAGCTTCAGGTTCTTGCTTCAGTTTTTCACATGTAATGTTCAGTACTCAATCAAAAATAACAGGCGCACAAGAAAACCAAGAGAAAAATCAGAACTAGAAACAGACCCATAGGAGATCCAGATAATAGATTGATCAGGCACACATTTAAATAACCATTAATAAAATGTTCAAAGAATTAAGGTAAAATGGAGAATTTCACAGAGAAATGGAAATTCTTGAACTGAAAACAGTAAGTGACAGAGAGTTGATTTTTGCTAATGTTGGGGGGGTCTACCATGCACATTCTAGTATGCTTGGTGTCAGAGGGCCTCACATGATGTGGCCCCTTCCTCAAAGAGGACCCCTTCTCCTGACCGAAGGCTGGGACCCCTTTGTGTCCCACCTGTGTTCTGGTCTCCCTCCAGCCCTGTTTGCAGGAACACCCCATCCCCCGTCTTTCTCCTCTGCGTCCTCAACCCTTCCCTTTCTGTGGGCTCTCTTCCCATTAACATTTGAGCACATTTGTCTCCACCAAAATGCTCTTGCCACATTACCAGCAAACCCTTTGTTGCTAAGTAAATTCTCACTCGCCAGGGCTTATCCCACTTGGCTTCTCTCTGATATCCAATCCTGTGGACCATGCCCTCCTTCTGCAGATGCTCTCTTGACCCTTGGGGCAGAGTCTCCCTGGCAGACTCTTTCTCTTTTGTCCATCCCTGAGAAGTTGGGGCTCCTCAGGGGCTGTGTCCTAGGGCTCCTCCTTTTCTCACACTGCCCCTCTCCCTGGATCATCTCATCTACTCCCTTGTTTCAGCTTCCTCCAGATGCCATTAACACCCAGGTCTCTATCTCCAACCCAGCCTCTTTCTTGAGCTCCAGAACCATACAGCCAGGTGTACCCTGGACTTGAACACTTGAAGGTCTAGCACGTGCCACCAGCACAACGTGTTCAAAGCTGAACTCTCTTTCCCTGCCTGTCCCTGCTGTGACCTCTAGCTCAGTAGATGACACCACCATCTACCCCAGTACAGTGGCCAGAAATCTGAGAGCTATTTTGACTTTTTCTGCTTCACTCCCGCATGTTGTCAGTCACTGAGTCCCATCAGTTCTGCTTTCTTAAATAGCTCTTAAATCTTTCATCCCTCCGTCTACCCCTCTAGGGCAGCTGGCCGTCTTCTCTCTCACCTGGATTCCTGCAGCGTTCTCTCTTGCTGCCTTCGTTCATACTCTCATTTTACCCATTTCCGTATAATCATTGGTGGTCTTTTTTGCCTGACTGTCATTTCCCTAAACAACACCCTCCAGTGTCCCTACGAAATGTCTATATCTCTTTTAAAAAACAAACGATTTTGGCTAACAAGGTTCACCTTCCCTCTGGCCCCTGTGAACTACCTCCGCCTCACTTCTGGACCCATCTCCACCACCCTTGTGCCCCGGGAACCCTAACTTCCTGCAGGTTTCATGTTTCCTGGCTGTTTCACATGCACCCTGCTTTGAAGAGCCTTCCCCTGACAACTCCCCCCCCCCTCCCCACCCACACCCCTTGGCTAACTCCTAAGGTATTATTCTGGTCTCACCTTAAATGTCATCCACCTAGAAGCTTCCCCTGAGCCTCTAGACTGATGGTTGTTGCCAAGTCAGATAGCTTCAAGGGCCAGGTGGGTCAGCATGAAGCCTCCAGGAATAAGCCCATAGGGTTACTGTGTGGACAGTAGACCGCAGGCCCTGCCTAAAGACAGTCAGATCCTAGAAATGGGATGCTAGCCAAGCAGAACATCAACTATGTTGCTTGGTTTTGCATTCCCACAGCAGCTTGTGCTTTTCCTGGAATCACCCTGGGATATGGTAATTGCTTGCTTTAATTCTACTTAATTGATTCTTTATTTCTAAGACTGTAAGTAAGTTCCATGCAGGCAGAGACCGTGCCCATGTCTCATTCATCAATGTACCCCTGGGACAACGCATAGCCCGTAGTGGGTGCTCATATGTGGAAGGGAGGAGAGGAATGCAGTGGCTGGTACGTCGTGTTCAGAACCAGACTTAGCTCTCTTGGAGCGCTCTGAGTAGTGCTCAAGATGAGGGGATTAGAGGCACAGGGTTTATGTGAACATTCTTTCTCAAGTCAGTTCTGATGCCGGACTTAAATCCAGGAGACCCAGACTCCCCGCAAAGGCATTACTCAGTGTCATGTTTAAGTGTGCATCAGTGTAGAGTTGATGGCACTGATATGATTAATGCTGTAATTTCTCCCCACCTACTTCTTTCGTTTCTCCTTTCCTCTTCCTCCTCCCTTTCTCTCCCACTCCATTTATTTCTGGTGGCCTCTAGTGCGTCCAAGGAGGAGTCTTTGGTGGAAATGTGTGGGCATTCAAGGGGACCAGCAGGTGGTGCTCTTGGACTGTTTGATAACTGGCCTTTTTTTGAGTGTTCCATTCTCTTTGTTCAAGTTCATAATGTAGGCAACTGTTTGGCAAGATTTCTTTCTGAAACAGAAAAGCAGGTTGATTGAAAAACAAGAACAAGAAAATAAAATTAGCAGAGTAGACATTTCTTTAATTCTCCTAAGTGGATTACAGAAACTTAGTTGGAGGGGTCCTCTGAGGCTCCCAGATCAGAGGTTTCCAAACCTTAGCATTACCTAGAGGGGCTTTTGAAAATACAGGATCCTGAGTTCCATCCAGACCACTACGTTGGAACCTGTGGAGTTAAGGCCAGGAATATGGTTTTTATCAGCTTCCCAGAAGATTCTCATCCTGTTGGCCCAACTTGGGTTCCAGTGTGGGAACCCCTCCTCTGAACCAGTGTTTCCCAAATTCTATGTGCATGCAATTCACCTGGGGGTCTTGTTGAAATGTAGACTCAGATTCAGTAGGTCTGATGGGGGTCTGAATTCTGCATTTTTTTACAAGCTGCTGGGTGATACTGAAGTTGCTGGTCTGTGGATCACTCTTTGAGAAGCAAGATCCAGAGCAGGGGTTGACAAACTATGACATACATACTCCAGCCAAATCCAGCCCATCACCTGTTTCTGCAAATAG